TTCAAGTGTTTAAATGTCTAATCTGGATTGTTGTCTTATCTGGCAAATTTCTATGGACCCAGTGTGTATGGATTAGACAAATTTTACTGTAAATAGTCATTATTATGTATTCTGTAACTTAAAGCAATGATATTAACATCTGTTTTTGTGAATAAAACCCCTATGAAAAAAATTCATACAGAACACTGAAAGATAAGTACATCTTTTTATGGACTAAATGTTAAAAAAAATTCTACGTGGCTTATCAAGAAGAGATTACATTACTTACGAAAAATCAAATGCAAAATCAACTTTAAATGTACGAGAGGAAGTCATGCATGTATGACTTGTACATACCAAATATGCAGTGATAACATCCCCTGCAGTAAACTGCTGTCCGTAGTCAACAAACTTGCACTCAGTGGCTGCCTTTCCTGTTCCCCCGTACCCAAAAGAATTTGCTTCTTCCCCTAGTGTGATGATATAAATTTCCAATATGTATATGATATTGATATCCTCTAGCACTAAAAGTTGTTTAACATTCAATATTATTTCAAAATCATGGGTCTAATGCAATTCAAACATCTTTACACAGTAATACATTTTTTGTTCCTATTCAAAATTAATCTTTAGTACAAATATTTTTATATTTATATATTGTTTTAGTAAAGTTCTGGTACACTTGTTTACCTAATTGCATAGAAGAGGAGTTGGTGGACCAGCCCACTCGTAGAACATTGGGGTGGACCTCATCAGGGGGCAGGTGGCTCACATCACAGTTCTCTGTCAACTGAAAGTTAGCAATAAAAAATTTATGACATGACTTAAACAATATGCATCTACACTAAATTGGAATACTTTGCCATTTGCCTAATTATATTTTCCTACCAAGCTTAAACTGAAACATAGTTGCCTACAATATATTCTTTACTTGAATTTTACATCAATGTCTTTGTTTACCTATTGTTATTTTTACCTGCCCTATAAGAGATTCAAGTGACTTTTTAAAAAAAAAAATACAGAAATATTACTTCTTAACTTTAATTTTCACATTTAGAATATGTCTATCAAATACTTAAGAAGTTACATTACTTCAATGTCATAAACATTTTTGTAAAGAAAAATTTCAGCAGCAGCAGTTATAGGATTCATTATCAGTACAGCATTCTGAGTGTAAAAACTATATCTGATATAACATTCAGAAATGTGGATGAAGCAAAGAAAGCTAATTATTTTGGGCTTCCCCGCCCCTTTTCTGAAATACTTAAAATAAAAGCACATGATGACACCAGTGCTCTAAGTCACACTTACTATCAGGTCACTATATGGCAGGTTGCTAAATGGTGACCCAAAATTTTTTTGGTCCCCATTTCAGAATTTCTGGTCACCATCAACAGATATTTCACTCACCATGGTGAAAACATTTTGTGAATAACATATCTAATATATTATAAAAGCATAGAACAAAAACTCGTAAACATACATGTAGAACATCTTTTTTAAATCAGAGATTACTTATTACTGTGACTGAACAATTTACTACCACTTATGAAATATTATTACATTGAACTACCGGTATAGTTGTACACGAAAGAAATTAAGTGATTTTATCCTAAAATTAAAGTTTAATCCAATGAAAAGTTTGACTGATGTGTGCATCAGGTGGAAACATTTCAGATAGGAATCTGTCACCTGTTTGTCCTGTTTACTTTATTACTACATACCTAACCTATTAAACAGTTGCTGTTAAAATTGTCAAAACATGATGATAGGCAAACAATCTCTAACAGGTTTTAAGAAGTCTACAACATTTGACAGTCGTTCTATACAGCATGCTGTCACAACATTACATATCCCAGTCTTTGTGATGCTTTACAAACTTAAAGGAATGTCTTCAAACATTTTCTTGATGGCAAATCTAGTTTTACAGTGATTTTTTTAGGGCCGATTTGGGGCCAAAATTCGGCCCCAGTCCCATTTGAAAATATGCCTGTATTTTCCCAAAATGTAGTGGAAATTTTCCCAAAGAAAAACTTACAAAATATGTGATCAAATTCAGTTTGTTTATTGCATGTTTTTCAGTGAAGTTCAAGCAGGTTTTGTTCAGCCATGTTGGATTTCTTCATAATTAGTTAATTCATACCACTATTGTTCTTGATACAAGTAATTAGGTATAATTCATACCAAGAATAGTCTTGATTTGTTATAACAATTGTTTGTTAAAGTAATACAAAGACAAAAACAAAGCTTTTTGACAATGCTTTTTAAGTGACTGGGTTTTCTGGGAGACTCCCAATTTAGCCTAATTGACGCTGAAATTCCTAATTCTGAGGGCCCCAGCCCCCAGTCCCAAAGTACTGAAAAAAAAACACTGCTTTAATTTCTGACTGCAAAATTAATGTTTTGGTTACAAATGCAACCATTTTAGTCGCAACTTGGAGCACTGGATACACTCTCCCATACCTGTACAGTACAATTCGTTTATTATCATAGTTTATTTGTCAGGCCAAAACTTTATAATAAGCGACTATTATAATAACCATAGTCGGCTGAAATTCATGTCGGACGTCTGACATGAAATGACGTTTGTATAAATTACTGGATGTACTTCTATTATACATGGTATGTTTCATGTAATTTCAGTTTGTTTTTTTTTTAGTTTTTTGGAAATACAAATAAACTAACATATCATTTCACATTATTTACTTACTGTTTCAACTTTTTGTAATAAATGAATTCACTAAAATAAAGCTTAATACTCTTCAAACTCTCTAGAACTTCGAACTGTCTTCTAGATCCCTTGGCATCCATCTTGTTTATATTCATTTTGATCTACTTTCATTTTTAAATATATGATCAATTCAAACTACCAATATTTCGTTTTTTTTATATTCATTTCTTTTATTCAACTAAAGTAGACATAAAAACCTCACTTCTTAATTAATGGGGCAGTTTTATAAATGTAATTAATTATGAACATTGATCAGGCAACAAGTGTAAGAAAGCTTGGGTTAATCAGGGACCTATATATACTAACGTTAGTATATAGGTCACTGGGTTAATTGACACAAAATTTAGTTACACATTTGGTAAAACACATTTATTATCAATGTACAATTCAGGATAAACAAAAGAAGAAAATAAGATTGTGAATGGTTTTGTGTTGTTATGTAATGTACTTTGTAAAATAAACAAACTTCGTGTCAATCACTCAGGTAAGTGCACTGAAGTGTGACTAATCTCCCCAATCAAGCCACTGTGTATAGACCAAGCCATTGTGTATAGACAAGTGACAGTGCATGAACCACAGGTGTAGATAGGTGTTATCTTTTGTTTTGTAGATTGTCCCAAGAGTGAAAAGGTGTGAAAAAAATATTACGGACGAAAATTTTCCATTATAGTAAGCGAAGTGTACGCTTTTACCTATGATAATAACAGACGAAATTTACAATGAATTATTAAGAAATGGTTTTGTGTTTCAAATATCTATGATAAAAAAAGAAGTACGATATAAAACCGGTATGATAAAAAAACGAATTGTACTGTATTTTATGCTACATGGAACAGTTTTGATGATAAATACTTGCGAACTAAAGTATGCAGCCATGACCTCTTACATCATTGCGAATATGAAAGTCTATAATGTGATGAAGATACATTCACTTACCTTAACTTCAAAAGCTACTTTTCCACCTTTGACTCCATAGGTAGCCCTTACTCCAGTCCACATCATAGCAAAGCCTCCATCAGTGAATGGTGCAGCGGACAAATTTCCCTCCTCTGTTTTCAGGCTCAAATCGGAGTTGACTAAAAGAGAAAAATTTAACTGTGTGATTATTATGAAATAAAACTTATTAAAATGAATTTTTAAGTTATAGAATCGAAAATTTTAAAAGTTTTCTAAATAATTCCTAAGGAATTATTCCTTAATTGTGGATAAATTAGGAACTATATAATTACAGATAATATAATTAGTAATACAGTTATGCCCTTACATCTGTCCAGTATAACATCAGTGGAAGACTCCCAGGAATCATCCTCCATCTCGACCTTCTTGGGACTGAAGGCTCGCCTGCAGGTAAAGAGACTCATTACTACAGAAGTTATATCTTGGTATTATGTAAACTGTTTGATAAAATGATGAATCGGATCATTGCATATTTAATTAAATAAACTTGAATGATGAATGTTTTCTAAATGGCATGAACACATTTTAAACACTCTTGTAGCACCCCTCCTGTATTCTCTACAATAATGTATACCCACCTTCTCTCACGAGATCTTGACCTAGAGCGAGATCGGGAACGATGTCGATCCTCCCTGGAGTGGTGCCTCTCATGAGAACGACTCCTTGATCTCTTCCTACCGTGTCTCTTATTATCTACAAGAAGTGCACATTACAGATAATGCCTTCTGGGTTATCACATTTTCAGAACACTTATTGTACGATATCATTTTAAGCAATATAATTATTGTTCAAGATTCTACTTTCTGCCAAGCCCAATGCATCATACCAAAAATTACTGGCATATTATTTCATTAAAAGCCTTAGGTATCTAGGTTTACCTTCATCAGAAAGCTCCTCAACAGTTTTCATCTCTTCATCAGCTTCTTTCTTTACATCAACACCATTGGCTGTTTGTGACTCCTCCTGTTTAACTGGTTCACTATCTGTTGCCATGGGCTCTTCATTTGCTTTGGCTGGCTCTTTTTCAGGACTGGCCGTCTTTGATTCAGCTTTGACCGACTCTGGTTTGGCCTGGATTGGTTCAGAAGCCTGGCTCTTCTCCTGGGCAGGTGCTTCTTCAGTTGTAGAAACTTTTTCCTGAACGGGTGCCACTTTTTCTGTTACATCTGATTCTGGTTCCTTCCTCACAGCTGCTTTAGGTTCTTCAGCTGGTGCCTAAAAGTGTTTTGTACATTAACTATCCATAGTTCTTATAAATCCAGTCTTTCTGAATTGCATCTGAATAGCTGGAATGTTTTATAAATAAAATGGTTAAAATGATATTGTCTGAGTTTAATGATAGACTTTGTTCCTTGTGTTGTCAATGTAGCAAAATAAGAAGGGACAGATAATTCTAACCTACACTACTATGATTAATCCAGAGAGTTCCGAATGTCAACATCGAGTACAAATTCAAAGAGTGAGGGAAAAAGTTGAGAAAATGAGCTGAATTTTTGTCTTTATATGGATTACTTTTTAGGGTACAAGGCATATACAAGCACAAAAATGTCTGTTATGATTAATTTGGTAGTTATTGTCAGTGTAACTCCAGAGTTGATGAAATATTCAAATCAATGTCAGAAAAGATTATAAATAACTGCACCAAAATGTCCTTTATTGTTTAAAAGAATATTTCCATCTCACAATTTTCTTTTCTGAATGTAAAGAGTACTTGATTATGCAATGGTTTATTTTAGCTTTATAAACACCAAGTTAATTTTGATGCGTGTATATATGGCTTGGATACTTTTATCATCTATATAATTGAATACTTTAATATCCCACAAAACAAACATCTGTTAGAATAATTTTTTTTGAGGGGGATGGGGGGGGGGGGGGTGTTGGGTGTTGGAAGGATACTACAATAATTTAATTCAATTGAGACTCAATATAATTTTTCTGGGACACATCAAATTTAGCTTGGACTCTTCTCAGAAACCTTGAGTCCTGGGACTCAAGTTAACAAAATCTTGTGAGAACCCTGTTATTCAACTAGGATATGACAAGATAATAACGCTATGCAAATAGCATCTTACATAAGTGAAATGGTATGAATAAAAAAGCCATACCTCTACTGATTTTTCAGGAGTTTCTTGTGCTGGTGCATTTTCAGTCTGAAAATTTAGTGAACATTTTTTTTAGAATTTTGTTAAGAATTAACTTATTAGACAGGGTCCAGTACAATCTCTTGATTTAGCTATATAGCTTGAATTACCTATATAGATTTAATAAGTTATTCAGAATAGCTTGATAATCTATTCAGAATAGCTTGATAGAGCTAATAGTAATAGCCTATCCATATGCAATTTTTCAGAAAAGTTTTTTTTTAAAAAGAAATAGATTAAGAGTCACAAGTTTTCAATTATTCGTATGTAATGTAAACTATCAAAAAGCAACCCAAATCAAAGATAGTTCTAACATTTCAGCATTTGAATACTAAGCAGAAGATGCATTTCCTTTGTTTAGATAACTGTACATCACATTTATCTGCATGGATAAGTATGATTGCCTCACACTGTGATGAATTATTACCAATCAATTATCTTGTTGACCATAAATGTCCTCCTGTATAATTTCATTCAACAAGTAACTGTGAGGTCACAAATCAATTGCTTTATATAGCCTCAAAACTTTAAGAACTTTGAATTTAAAGTCTCTGAAGGAGACACAATTTGATGAGCAATGTTTACATGCATTGTTTTCAGAAGTGTTCAAGCTTGAATTCTAAAACTGCACTAAGATGCAACTTTTTGAATATGTTGAAAAAATAACACATTTAAGGATGAAATGTGATAAAAGTGATAAAATAACTAAATATAGATAGAATTTTCTATTGTTAAAATAATAAATGTCCTATGGACCCGGTTTAACGATAGAATGTGTTCCATGTATTGTCAATGTAGCCAAAAAAATACGGGAGATAACTCTAACGCAGTGCATTTACTATGAAAAATCCTGAGAGTTCCGAATGTCAACATGGTGTGTAAATTTGAAACAAGTAAAAAACGATGGTGAAAAAGTGTTGAATTCTTCCATTATATGGATTAAATTTTTAGATGAAAGGTATTTACAGTCTCAAAGAGGTTTGCTATGATTAATTTGACTGTTATTTTCAATGCAACTTCATTAATTTTCTCCAAAATCGTTTCGGAGTGATTCTGCAATTTTCTGCTACATTATGGGTATATGGGAGGCATTCTAACTGTGGTGAGGGCCTGTCCCGAGACACTGTTAGATTATTCTAACTAAACTAAATCAAGCTATTCTGAATAGCTAAATAAAACTATATAGCTAATCCAATCATGTGATTGTGCTGGACCTGTTAGAAGCAGCTATATCTGAAGAATAAAGTGGTTTTGCAGCCATTATTATATGGACTATGGAGGTAGCATACTTGATCATTTTTGGTGGGAGACTCCTGGAGAGAACTATCATCTAGTGTTGATGCCTCTTGCGATTCATCAGCAACCGAGTCAGTAGACTCGTCAGCAACTAAAACCATAACAAAGGTCAAGGTCATTAATGTTAGCAAACAATATCTTTCCCAATACTGATACATTGATGAACGAAATATAATCCGCAGTATCTTGCTGATTTACATTTATGCATGCAGTGTACTTACTCGATCCTCCCTTTTCCTCATTTAATGCCTTTTTCAAACGCTTGACCAATACCGGTTTTGTTCCTTTGGTGTCTAACCCACGCGACTTCAACTCCTCGCGCAATTCGGCAACTTTAAGCTTGTTTGGATCGATATCACTCATCTTTTTCTATCCAAACTGCTACAAGTTGTATGAAATTATATAATTCAAACGTGCTCTTCCATATATCACTTAGTTTTACTGTGCTTCACAATTTCCCATCCACAGAGTTTCAAAATGGCGGCAAGCGGACGCACATGCACGGGTTACTATATTTTTACGAATGTTGTCTAAAATGTATCAAAACGAAGAAAAAAAAATTCATGCAAATATATATTTTTTTAATTCAAGCAAATATTTTTTTTTTAAAAATCATAGTATTGTAATTGTGTTTGTGCCAATAAATATTTGTATTTTTTTTTTTGTATAAAGAGAGTATATCACATAACAAACAACATTTTCATACACGCCAACTTTCCCGATTTTGGCGGGATCCTCCCGGCACGACGATTTACCCAAGTGGACCCAAAAGGAACCCAAATGGACACAAATGGGACCCAAATGTACCCAAATGGAAACACAAATGAAAACACAAAAAAAAAAATAAATAAATAAATAAATAAATAAATACAATGACACGATAAACAAACAATACAATCGGAATCCATGTAGATCGTTTTTTAAAAAACGAAAGTAGAGAACTACAAAGCATAGCGGCTAATTTTATCTGCTTATAATGAAAATATTGTAAAGTTTACTGGTTAAAATAAGATGAAAATAATTAAGATGAAGCAACAAATTAAGTCTCATGTCAAGTACACAGAATTTCTCCCCCCCCCCCTCCCCTCTCCCAAAGGTAATATTGTACGTTGTATTTTATTGTTATGGACAAGGTAATACCCACATGGCACTGCCAGGACTGCAAAAGTTCATCATGACTATAACAATTTTAGTTTTTATTTGGGATAGGGGGTACCCTTATGTTAAATAATTGATGATCTTAGGAGTAAATTTATTTCTTCAAATTGTACAAGGTCAACATGATGTTGTTTACTTAAACAGATATCACTTGATCAGTTATTTATTGCGGTTGTATTTATTTATTTATGCGTATTTAACACACGTTTTCCATTTTAACAATTTCAATGTTCAATATATCTAAAAAGATTAGATTTACCAGAGACATATATAACACTCATTAATTATAAATAACACACATTTATTTATTATCATTTAATTGAACATATATTGTTTGATATATTGTTTTCTGATAGGGCATTCAAGATAAATTGGAATTCATTTTCTACATCGTTCAAATTACATAAGAAACATATTCTGTTATTATTTCATTAACATATTTACCTTCTTCAATCCGTAATTTAGGACTAGACAGTCTATAGCATGTGATATAATCATATATATTTTTGCAAGCATGATTAATAGGTTTCGATAAAAATACTGTAAACAAAAATGGTCTACAAAACATTGATAGAAATATTTTCCTTTGTGTAGTGTATATATCTTAAGCAAGAGAAAAAAAAGGATAATTAGGGATCAGCAAAATATTTATTTATTACTCAATAACAAATCTAAAAGTTGATCTACCTAACAAAACAATAGTTCTAGACACTATTAGTTAATAATTTTCATCCCCCACCCATTATCCTCTCTTGGTCTTTAAAGATTATTTATTGTATAAAGATATGGTATTTTTGTCCCATTTTCATTTATCTATTATTTAAAGGTTTACCTGACCATTAAAAACTATGAACGCACTTTTGTATCAAATATTATAAAATTTCTTGTATAATTATGTTATATTCAATTGACTTTTTAAGTTACATTATTTACAGTGATTAACTATAAGGTGAAAAGCAAAAGGGAATAGCTTCTTTCAGTAGAAATTAATAAATTGACCAAAGGGAACAGAATTTCAAAATCTGGTAAAAATACCCCTGCTTATTATAACTTTATATACTCTCTTTGCCTCCTAGATGCCCAGGAGCAGAGAAAAAGATTTTCAAGGAAATAATTCATTTTCACTATAGATTCAATATAGCCCCACCCTAATACCAAAGCCCCTGACCCAGGGGCCAAGATATTCGCAATTTTGGAAGAGGCACACTTGCTCATCATAAATTAGTCTATATACTTTGTTTATCTGCTAAATACATAGGATCAGAGAAGAAGATTTTCAAAGAAATAATGCAATTTTTACTAAATAATCAATAGAGCCCCCCCCCCCTCCCATCCGCAGAATTCCTCACCCTGGGGCTACAATTTTCTAAGAGGCACAATTGATCATCATAACCATGCACCTAGTTTATCTTCTTTATATACAGGGAGAGAAGATTTTTAAAGAATTTATGCATTTTCACTATATAATCATTAGAGCCCCGCCCTAACACCAGAAACCCCGACCCAGGGGCCATGAAATTCACAATTTTGGAAGAGGCACTCTTCTTCATCATAACTATGTACTTACTTCATCAGTGTAATACCCAGAAGCAGAGAAGAAGATTTTCAAAGAATTAATGCATTTTCACTATATAATCATTAGAGCCCCGCCCTAACACCAGAACCCCTGACCCTGGGACCATGAAAATCATAATTTTGATAGAGGCACCCTTTCTCATTATAACTATACATTAGTTTGTTTGCTTAATACACAGGAGCAGAGGAGAAGATTTTTAAAGAAATAACACATTTTCACTATATGTTCAACAGAACCCCGCCCTGGCACCAGAAGCACTGACCCTTGGGCCATGAATTTCACAATGTTATTAGAGGGCTCAATGCTTATCGCAATCATGCCAACAGTTTGACTGTTTGATGTCCAGGAGAAAAGAAGAAGATTTTTAAATATTGCATCAATTTTGATGGTTTTGACCCTACCTCTCAGATCCCATGGGGGCAGGGACCATGAAATTAATAATTTTTGTTCCCCTTCACCCATATATGCCAAAATTAGTTGAAATTGGTTGAGCGGTTTCAGAGAAGAAGCTAAAAATGTTCAAATGTTAACGCACATCGCACGACGACGGACGAAAACAGATAGCAATAGGTCACCTGAGTAAACTCAGGTGACCTAAAAATGGATAATTGGATTGGTATATATATTTTTGGACCTGTTTTGATTCTAAATGATGCAAAATCAAAATTCTAAAACATTAAGAAATTGTACACATTCTATGATGTTAAAAATTCTGTCTAAAATCACCCTTATTAATCTATACATGTTTTTTTTTTATCCCTTTATAGGTCATTATTGTGAAATTTTGAATGGAAAATTCAAATCTGTGTGATTAAACTTATTCATCTTACTTACATAAACATGAATAAAGTTGTTATTTTCATGTTTTTGAAATTAGTTTGTTTGTATTATCTGTCCTTAAGCCAAAATATTTCCTTGAAAGGTACAGAAGTATTCTGCTTGATTCATAATACACCATGTTATTTGAGATACATGATTTCATACCTAAGGCTTTCTTACAAAAGTTTGTTTGTGTTTTCTCAACATCTTTGGTCTTGCGAAAACCCAGATTTCAGCAGCATATGACAAAACACTTTTTTACACATGTATCAAAAATTGCACATTTAGTTTCAATATTAAGGTAATAGTCATTCATTCTTGGTGTTATGTTGCAAAAAATGCTTTCCGACCCTGATCAGCAACATGATTTTGAATGACATTAAATTTTCCATTTTAATTGAGCAACATATCTATTAAAATTAATTAAATTCATTAACAATATCAGTTCTTTACCATCATTCAAAAATTGATATAAATATTATATAAATGAAATCCAAGGGAGTGCAGTTACTGATAGGTGGCCCTAAGCACTGTTTCAAAACCTGAGATCTGAATTTAGAACATTGACTAGTAAAGTTCATATTTTAAGCTCAAATAATGAAAGCAATACGTATAGTTCCCAGCTCAATAACCCAGACAAGTACTATAGTTGCACAGACGGAATAAAAACAAAATACAGTGTATTGATTAAGTTTCTAATAGAAATCCACTGCAGCTCAATGCAGACGTGCATATCTCTGTAGAGTATACATGTAACACAGAGTGAATAATTCTTGTCCTCAAAGAAAGTGTGTTACACTGAGGCATGGTTCCGTTTGACTGTGTTACAGAGTTTTAGTTTTATTGGATTTTGCAATTTGCTATCTATTTAATGTCTTTTACATAGAGAATGAACATGCATGAAATATAGATAAATGAAGGGAAATACACGAGCTGCTATGAAAAATTCAATAGTGTTTGAAAAGGCGAAAATTTAAAACTAACAGTGCAGCTCCAGGTGCATTTCGATCCACGATTCTAAAAATGTGCCTGATGATCCTAAAAAAATCCTATTTGAAATAATTCCTTAAATCACAGTCTATCAAATTTTAATGTAATTTAAAATAGGGACAGACCTGCCCTGAAGGACTTCTAGGCCAAAATTCATGCAAAAATTGCTGCTTTCACGGAGAAAATCCTGTTATAGTCAACTTTGAAGGTAAATTTTAAAGTTACAAATAATCTTTCAAAATGAAAAGCACCCCCCTCCGACCGGTCACACCCGCCGTGTGCTCCTTCTCATGATCGGTAAATAATGGAAAAATCCGTCGTCAATTCAGTGTGTAAATAATGGCCTAACAATTAGCCTGAAATATGACTTAATGGTAGATTGAATTTGCTAATAAGGTCATTGTATCGATCATAGAACGTACGAAATGATGACTTTAAACGAGACTGTTGATATCCTTGTTTCATCAACTTGTTTGTCAATAACTTACCTCGTTTCAGAAATTGTTCATACGTAGAGCATGCTCTTGCGTATCGAATCAACGGAGAGATATACACCCCATATGCAGGTGATAAGTGTATACTGCTGCATAAGTAAGGGAAGTTGATTATTGAAAAGTTAAAGTCATCAGGTTTATCATAAAGTTTTGTTGTTAGATTACCATTAACATCTTTTTCTAATAAAATATTTAAATAAGAGACAGATGTGTCAGACTCTGTGGTATCTTTTATTTCAAGCTCACTGGAATATATCCTGTCGATATATAAATGGAAATAACTATTGTTAATTGATAATACGTCGTCGATATATCTAAATGTCGAGTTGAAGGCCACAGCAAGAAATTTTTTTCTCATGTATAAGATACTTTGAAATTGAAAAAAAAAATTAAGTTTGAATTTGGCCCCTTGTTTCAGAAAATTGAAAACGTGAAAAATTAATAAAGTCTGAGAGCTGACGGAAGAACACACAGGAAGCTAGGCTGACGATAGACCTCGATCAGAAATTTGATTGAAGCAAGCTCAAAGACGTTGTTCAAAATAAAAATCAATATTTGGGGGAAAAATCTCTGAGAAGATTCAACAATTTTAAATGTACCAAAAATACGTAATACCCACGGTCACTTAATTCGATAAACACACATATACACATCAGCCTTCAGAAAGAAAAGTTTAATCAATATATATCTAAAACAAGTATAGTTAATCTTCCATGTCATCTCTGAAATATTGATGACACTAATCATTACCCGACACCGCTCTGTGCAGAGAAGAAGGAATTTTCTTCTCTCTCTTTGAAATGAAGTTTTATACCATCTTTGCATTTTTGCCGACTGTTGGTCTGTCCGTGGCTGGAACATGCTCAGAGTATACGATAACAAAGAGTGTGGACTCTACTATTCACAAGGCTTATCAGTACCAGAGCCTGACATTAGCTACCCTGATAGAATGTGCCTCCCACTGCCTGAGGGGGGCCAAGTGTAAATCCCTCGCACACACGTCTTCACAGATCTGTAAACTGTTCACAAAATCTAAGGAGGACGACCCTGGCTTGGTCCAAACAGAGACAGGGACATACTACGTCAGTAAATCCGACCTTCCCACGGTAAATCTCTACCCTTCTCCCTAGCTCTATCTCTCTTTCTCTCTCTCAACAGTACAGTGCAATTAAGGTTGTGAAATTACATCAACATTTCGCATGAAATTATATATGTTCACTTAACACACAGATTGGGAATTACTGAGAGTCTTGATACCTCACGCTCCTAGGCATCACTTTTCCAACTGTTATATACTTAATTAAAATATAGTCTTTTTTTCAAAATTCACAGAACAACTCTAAACTATCTGCAATTAAATGATATTCTCAAATGATACTCTAAACTATATTTAGATGCAACATTTACTTTTTTAATATCTTTAACTTCGTTGAAATGTTCATCGAGTTCCACCCGTACACCTTTTACTGAAAAAAAGTTGGCCCATGGGCCATGGGCCACGACGCTCTCTTGAATAACTTTGGCTCTGTTGTTCTTCAGATTAACCCCCCCCCCCTTTTTTTATTCCGATGAGAAATTTTGATCCCCTTTTGTCACCCAACCCCATCCGCTGTTGATCACGATAAAAAGAATTTGAATTTTGTCTCCCTGTATATTCTCTTGTAAACCTCACTCAACTGTCCTTTATATACAACAAGTTTTGATATGAAGAATTTGTCATATACAATTTTTTCATATAAAATGTATAGATACTTTTTTTTGCAAAGGAAACTATACCCCATGGTCATGACTAGCCGGTTGTTCTTGCATATTATGGACCTGTTGTTGTTGAGATTTTTGAAGACATTTACAGAATTTACAGAATTTCCATGCAAAACTTTATAATTACTATCTACACCTGTGAATTAGTATTACTGCCTTAGGCATTAAATTGTAATTCCCACAACACTATTCATTATTTATTTATTTTTTTTTTTTTGGTTATAAAGAAAATCATCTTCCGCTGCATTGTAAAATTTTCCAATAATTGTTTTAAAAAAAAACTGTTTCAATTTAAACGTATGATAATGTAACCGCCGTATATATTGATTGCGCTAAGCATGTTTGTCTTGCCTTTGTTGTCCGTATGAAAAAATAATGAACCCTTAAAACCAGAGACAAACAGATTTATATGAGTAAGTAATCTCGGGAGAATACTAAACACAGCAAAAGTATAATGCTATAGGATTCAATAAATAATGCTCATACCAGACGCTCGCTTTGCAGACACCTACTGATAATCTTTAATGTTCAAATATAATTCATTTTCCCTAATAAACACAAATCTTTGTAATCAACTAAGGAGTCATACTTCTGCTTACTACATGCAAGTTATTTTTCTAGAGCATGCAAGATGATATAAAGTTAGTATTAGTTACATAATACATAGACATGCCGCTTAAATAAATTTTATATCAATAAACGACAAAATTTAAAGAAAAATGTGATCAGATAAGAATTGGGAAAATTTTCATATATCGCCCACTCGTGATATCCAACATGCAAAATGAAGCTGACTTAATTTAATAATGTCGACTTGTTACTTATTTATGTTGACATGCAACTTATTTTTTATGTTGACATGCAACTTATTAATTTAATTTCATGTTGACATGTAACTTGTTTATGCATGTGCATAAATAAGTCAACGGCCTATCTGTGGTTACATGTTCCCATCCCCGAGCTATACTCCAGCCTCCCCTTGTGTAATGAAAAAAGTGAAGATAAAATACTCTACTGGTTGGTTAATTGAAAATCAAACGAACTGTGAGTCAGATGTTTCATAATTTAACTCCAGGGGATCGCTGGGACGTGCAGTGGACACATTTGTGGAGATGATGACCTTTGCGTTCAGTCTGACACCACCTACCAATGTATTCCCGTTTATGGAGGTAAAAGAGTTCTACAAAATATTTTCGAAAATTTGGTCAAACTTGGAGGTCACTATTTACTTGAGTGAACAACGTACTGATACAATACTGAAAGACGGGTCAAATTAATAATGTTGAAAGTTCATTCATAAAAGGACTTTCGAAAATGATCACTAGCTGCTAGCTATCTTCACATTTCATGTATGTATTGTAACAATATCTAGTATATATATATATATATATATATATATATATATATATATATATATATATATATATATATATATATATATATATATATATATATAATCTTAGGGTTTGTTGGATGAAAATCCTATCCCCATAATCGTAAAACCGGAGAATCTTTTTCTACTTTATCAAAAATGTTGAAATTAAATAATTTAGTTGTTTCAAGTCAAATCTGAGCCACTAATTAACAGAACAATAATGAAACGAAATGAGTATGAAAAAATTAAATTATCTAAATTGATAGTACTTTATTTTTTAAGACATCGCTACTATTTAGTAACATAAAATATATCAAGGAAAACAATTTAATTCTGCATGCATTTAAAATATCAACCATTAACTTTCTGATATTCTCTCCCTCTCTCTTTCTCTCTCAAGAGAGATGTTACATTGTACCTCCATTATACAAGAAAAAAAAATATGTATATACCAGCCATTCCAGGATTCGAACCCATTCTCAGGTAAAAGAATCTTCGCAAAGAGTCCACACTCTTTTCCACTAGACAGCTCCGACACTGAATTATCATGTGCTATTTTATATTCGCATTTTGCATTTCCGATGGATAATAATTTTTATTCAATTTTTTTTGATTTTCAAAAATATGTCTCTGCGAAACAAAAATTGGAAATGGCAGTTTTGAAGAAAAATTCTGTCTCTTTATGCGTATATATCAAATTCATTCTGTTTCAAGGAGGCAATTTTTCAGAACAATTGGGATTCCCAATTTGAAAAACAGAAAACTTGACTTGTTTTGCTATGTGACTAATTTACACTTCATTTAATGGCAAATTGGTAGTGGATATGCAGTTTCTAAACATTGTTCTACATTGTGCTGTATATACCGTTGTATCTGAAAAAAATTAAGACCGGTTTCTGTTACTTAAAATTTTTCTTTTAAACTGCTACAACTTTAGGGAAAATAACAAAAGAACTGCAACACCCTCTTTGCCTTTCCTGGACACTCAAAGTTATAAAGGATCAAGGAGGCCCCTACCCCCAGCCTGTATTTCCTGCCACATCAAACACCCCATAGAACAACGCCCCTATTTAGAATACAAAAACAGGTCGGCTAATTAAAAAGCACATTTAGTGCCTTTCGGAATTCCGATTATTGGAAGACCTGGTCTCCAAAGACTTCATAAATATTGTCAATGTGGAAGGTCCGAATTAATCTGACATGATCTTGACTCAAGGTCATACCCGGTATCTCAAAATTCAACGTCAAAAGTATGATGCTGAAACTGTTTCGTTGGATGTATCGTTATCTTCATGCAGCGTTTTGAATGACGGATAGCCATGGTGAGGGGTATTGTTGGGGAAGAGGATGATAATCCTTTTTTGAGGTTTTAAATTGCACCTAGTACCTGATACATGTAATTCATACATGTATCAATTCATAAATGTATAAATCAGTTATAAATTTCCTTTGCCAGGTAAGCGTTGCTCCGGACCACCGGGGGTGACAAACGCAGTAGTGGACTTCGATGACCCCGAAACCCATCCCTGGGGTACTGGGGACAACGTGAGATTCAACTGCAGCAGCAACCTCGCCTCCACTGGGGGTCCCTCTGTTATGACTTGTATGGACACTGGCATTTGGAGTTATTCCTTCTCGTGTTAAAATTCACTAAAGGCGTCCATTGTGCAATTATATATGCTGCATAAAATTAAAGGCGATTTTCGCCAGAGAATTAAGTATAAAACAGCTTGGTACTTCCCTGTTGCTAGACCAATTTTGATTCCACAAGAAAAAAAAATATTCTTCAACAGAGGATTCAGAGCCAGTGCACCGAAGAATTATATCAAACCGCCGGTTATATTTCAACGTTAGAAATTGAGACCAAATGTCGTGATTTTTTTTATCCGTGGTCATTTTTTTACGGCTGTTATATTTGTTTCTAGGTACTTCTGACCATAACGCGGTGAAAATTGACCCCTGCTGCAGAATTTTGCCGTGTTCGATCTGGATGTTGTTTTACATGTTTTATACGATGGCCGATAGCGACCGTCAATTTACACTAACGTTCTGTGTGTAACGTGTACATTTTCACTGAAAACCCACTGACATGTTACACTTAAAAGTAAAAGTGTATTAAGTGTATAGTGTCATTGCAAACAGCATCAACGTTACGTGTGTAAAGTGCCAAGAAATACGTCATGTACACCAGGTACAGGGTGAACCAAGTACAGAACCAGCTTTGTTTTAGTTGTCCCTGCAATGTGCTCTTGGAGTGCACCTAGATTTTCTGACAAGGTTCCTAAGTACAATGTAGTTAAAAGAATACTCACAGATCAGTCAATCACATCAAAAACCTTTTATATTGTAATCAGGCCCGTAGCAACGGTTTTAAAAGTGGGGGGGGGGAACTTCCCAAAATAATCTGACGAGCAAAATAAAAGAAGAAAGAAAAAAAACTTTATTAACTATGCAAATCATGGAATTGGACAGCAACAAAAAGTGGCGGGGGGGGGGGGGCGCAACCAGCATCTAAAGGAAAATTTACTATAACAAAATACTATAACCAGAAAAGGGGGGGGGCAGCGTTCTACGGGCTTGGTATGGAAATGTCCTTTAATTATTGCTGCCGAGTTAAAATAACGTCTTATTTTATAACTTTTGAAATGCGTTATAAACTTTATAGAAATCTAAACAAGGTTTTCACCTGCAAAATAGATCCTTCTTTAAGCCACTTCCTAATATCAATTAATAGTAAAATATTATAATAAAAATTCCTATAAAACATTTGCTTTAAATACTTCTCGCTAGATCCGTTTAAGTATATTTGATACCATTGGTTGTCGCATTTAACCTTTCATGAAACACTACTACATACGAGGGCTGTTCGGAAAGTTCGTGGAGTACAGTCATAACTTTTTTACTTAACGTCATATTATATCCAAATTTGGAAGAAATATTTCAACAGTAAATTCAAATGATGTGTAAAATATCATGGTTTATTTCAAACTTATTTAGACTTCAAAAATGCGCAAATCGGATCACGGAGCAGGTCAAAATTTTGTGATATACAATCAAGAACCTAAATAATGTCTGAAGTCATATCTTCTTTAAAATGACTCAAAACGGAAAAATTCTACACGTTCAAATTAAGAATTGTTTCATCGTTTCTGATTCCAAATTATGACTTAATATTTTGCTTCGTTGAAAAGAAATCAGTTTCAGAAGATAGATAGTCCTCATTGAAAAAGGCAAAAAAGATGACGTTGTAGAACGTCACGGAGCAGCAGTTAACCATACAATTTTGTGTTGTACTCAGGAAAACTTTAGAAAAAACTCTGAAAATGCCGGAGGAAGTAGGAAATATGTCAAAAGCGAGCCATGCATGTGTGTGTACAAGGTACAAGCGGTATTTGAATGATAGACTACTCTGCTTTGACGATGGTGATCTGTGATCTGTAAAAATCTTATCAAAAACATTGAAAAGTTAGTAACATCATTCTAAGAGTTTTGCGTTTTACTGATGCTGATTTTGTGAAAATACAGTTATGCATTGAAAAAAATATAACACTGACAAACAAAATAATGCCACTGGAGCAATTGTTAGCGAAATAGATTTCAAGTGATACAGTAACGTTTTTAATGAGTGCACTGGTATTGGCCAATATTGTGTGAAATGTTTAGGGATAGTATTTTTGAGAACCTCATGTCAGTATGTTTTTGACGTTCCAGTGTTGTTGAGTTTGCTCCGTGGTTACAAAACGCGTTGATTTTAAAATTAAATAACACGAATTCTATAAAATCACATGGATTGAAACGTCACACTTAAACAAAAAAAGTATTTTTACATATGATAATGTGCTCATTTAAGATTTCTTGAAGATAGTATAATGAACATTGGCATAGTCCACGAACTTTCCGAACAACCCTCGTACAAATGTACATACTTTTTACTAGACTCTGCATTAAATTCTCGTACCTTAATTTTAATTCATATTTTAGTTGTACGCTGTACCTCATTTACCGGTTGATACAACTTCGAAAATACTAGTGAAAAATATCATATACTGAATATAAATACCGTATCGGTGAATCATGATCAATCTCTATACATACAAACATCAATTTAGTTTAAAATAAAAAATACAATTATGATGCTTATGATGCTAGTATTCATTTAAATACTAAGGAACTGCATTCAAAGGGGCACCTGCAGTTCAACACAAAGTTTTGATACATGATACCACTTTTAGATTTAGAGTGTACACGACACTTTTCACGACACTTGCACACACAATGTTGGTGTAGAGTGTACATTAATTTTTGCAATGACACTGTACACTTCGTACACTTTTACATTAGGTGTAACTTGTCAGTGAGTTTTCAGTGAAAATGTTGAACACATTACACACAAAAGTGTAAATTGACGGCCGCTATCGGCCATCGTAGTTATATGGGTACCCTCTTATATATATAATATATCATATATATATATGTTTGTCAGTAAAAATGAGTTTGTCAGTTTTAAAATTTGAATTTGTTCTAGAATAAATTAACCAGCAACCCATAACAAATTGTTAATAATGCAATGCACCGTATAGCTTATTTTCAAATTTGAGACTACGGTGGTAATTCACCCTTACTTCCTATTATGCAAAATATATATTGTAAAAAATCATTGAGGGGACAGTCACCCCCCCCCCCCCCCCCAGTGTTCAAAGATGATAGGACATTACAAAATCTCTAGAGAACTAGGGCCTAATATTTTCTTTTGTTTGAAATCCTAAAGTATACTCCTATAATGGTGGATCCGTCCTTCTCTTTCTTGCGTTGTTGTTGCCCTTACTTTGTTGAAGTTTGTTTCACTGTTGCGCTTACGTTTGTACAAATGTACGTCATGTAATCGTGTTCGTTACGCTGTTGTCCATGCGTTTGTAAACGTGTTCTTTTTGTTGTTGCGCTTACATGTCGTCGCCTGAGAACCATACTGTTCTACAACCAAATTTTTGATTTTGAGAAAAATGACCTTAAAGTTCGTAACCCTAAGTTTTTTAACTTATAAATCCTAGAAAACCAAACCATTGAAAATGATTCTGTTGACAAGGTAATCCTTTAAAATTTGCACTCGAATTTGTTGGATGTATTCGAGATAATTGAAATCTGGAGTCTTTTATTTGGAAATAGAACATTCTAGCATAAGCTTTTTGGTGAGAGACATTATGAGTTTGGAAATAGCACATGCTGGTTCTATGATAAACATGAAAATAGAAAATATATTTTGAGTTACAACATAGACTGTGGACAGTTTATGATGTATTTATATAAAAATCTTAAAGCTAATAAAGTTTTCAATGTTTTGTTTTTCTTTCTCAAACTTTTTGGAGAATATTTCTATAAATTGATTGATATGTTTTTTTGTTTTTTGTTTTTTTTATTTTTTAAAAAACAAAACAGAAAATCAACACAAAATCTTGAATTAAAAACACTTTATTGCATAAAACACCGAGTTGTCTTACTCAACATTAGACTTAAATCATACAAAACAAATTGTAAAATCTTGCCATTATAGAAACACGAATCATTTTTTACAAAATTAATTTGAACTTATCAGTAATACAAAAAAATTAATATATTGTAATTATAGAAACATAGTTCATTTCCACATATTTAATTGATTGTCATTTTAACATTTTCAAGTTCTTTTTACTGTGCTTTCATTTTTCATTTCATTTTCTTTTCAACTTACAAAATATCTCAAAGAATTCGCGATTTTGAAGAGGCATAAATTTCAACATTGATTTAAAATCTGCTTTCTTTTCGTTGGACAGAACAGGGCTTTTTGTTAGGTTTTTCGGCACTGGAAGACAAACATTGGGGCAGGGATCCTTACTTCGTGTAGTTTGTCCTCTGATGGATACCTCTGTGTACTCTGAGTCTGCAAATGACATCTTGAATAGCACATGAAAAGGTTTTTCCAACACATACTCAAGCTGCTTCACCCTTGAATATGGAACAGAACTAAATTTCAAAGTTGTTGAGACTTTCTGAAAATTGTAGAAATGTAATTTTTGTAATTGTATAACCCTTGAATGCTTAGGCCTGATGCTTTTCAATACTCGTAACAGACTGACAGGACTGTAGATTTCAGATATTTTAAGGCCCTTCTCTAGGTGACTGTGAATGTTGTCCACCTCCTGTATGGAAGAATGTCCAGGAGTACAATACTTCTGAACTATCTTTTTGACATTAGGATTCTGCGACATGAAAGTCTTCATGGCAAGTGACATTACAGAATTACGATTCTGTGGAACGCAGGAATCTGACCAAAGGATTATCGTATCAACTAATGGATTATCCTTTAAAACAGCACCAAGGATGACTAGTAGAGCACTTGCTATCTCATTTGCACCCCTGCCTGCAATGCATTCAGCCCATATAGCATTGTATGCTTTCTTGTCAAGAGAACAATGGGCAGTTAAGTTGTAAACGTTCAGCTTTCTTTTGTAGAAAAAACTGGATACGTTTGCCCTAGGACAAGTAATGACATTCTGCAAATCGAAACAAATAAAGGCCTCTGTTTTGCTTTCTGATTTCCTATCATTTTCTCTTTCTTCCTTTGTTTCAACTTTATCCTTTTGATGATCTTCAAACTTTTCTTGTAGTATTCTTGTGACTCTGTTTGCGTCTGTCTGAGCCGCATACTCCATGCATTGGTCGCACCTATCCTTTTTTGGAACATGAAATCCTATGTTAAACTCTGTGTTAAAGACATTGCGATAAACATGAGACTTCACGGGCACTATGTCTTTTTCAGTGCACTTCTCAACATAAAGATTGTACATCTTTGCCAGGTTCAGATCTGCAGCAAG